CATCTCTGGGTTGAAGCAAACCTGTGCATTGCTGATACTCTTTTTGATATTTTATTTCTTTTTTCATTTTTATTTTGGTTTTTAGAGACAGGGTTTGGAATCTGTCCTTTGATATTTTATTATATTTAATTAGACTACCTTTGAAAATATTTATTGGGAATCTTTGTATCTGTGTTCATACGGGATATTGGTTTGTAATTTTCTTATTTTGTTAAGTCTTCGAGTGATTAAGGAATTAGACTAATTGTGAGACTAATTCTTCAAATGAATTTGTAAATGCTCCTTCAGTTTCAATTTTGTGGGATAATTTGAGAATATTTTTTTTTACTATTATTCTACGTAGGTCTGGTGAATTCTGTGCTTAATCCATTTGGTGCTGCGTGTTTTGTGTTTCTAATTTTAGTTGTTATACTTTTAATTACAGTTTCTCTTTTACTAAGTGTTAAGGGTTTGTTTAAATTGCTTATCTGTTATTGATTTAACTTTAAAGATTATATTTTGGTAAATCCATCATTTTCTTTTAAGTTTTTCACTTTGGTAGAATATAGGTTTTAATGTATTTCCTTCCTCATATCTGTTGTAATTTTCCTTGTTCATCTTTGATTTTATTAACTTGGGTCTTCTCTCTATGACTTTTTTTTTAAAATTTGGGTAAGGGTTTCTTAATTTATTGATTTTTTCCAAAAGACTAAACTCTTCATTTTATTACCTATTTGTATTATTTTTTATCTGCTTGTTTCTAATATATTGATTTAAGTACGGGGTTTGATTATTTCTTTTTTGATTTTTTGTTTTTGTTTCCTTTTCTATTTTTTTGTTTCTTTGTTTTATTTTTGTTTTACGAGACAGAGTTTCTCTGTAGTTCTTGAGCCTGTTCTGGAACTAGATCTTGTAGACCAAGCTGGCCTTGAACTCACAGAGAACCACCTGCCTTTGCTTCCCGAGTGCTGGGATTAACATATGCATCACCACCACCAGGTTGAGTTTGATTATTTCTTGACATCAGCTTCTTTTGGATGCAATTTCTTCATTTTATTAGCAGTACATTTTAAATGTCTACAACAAAATTAAAACCAATTTCCTTTTGGCCCATAGATTTGAATATGTTTTATATTAATTTTCCTTCCGTTGACAAAGTATTTCATTTCATTTTAAATTTCTGACTCGACCCATTTTTCATTTAGTTGTGAATTGTTCAGTTTTCATGAATTTGAAAGGTTCCTGATTTTGTTTAAAATTTATTCTGGGCCTTTGAACTGGGATTCTTCTTTGTCTAGTCATATTATTCTTGGGCTTGTTATTAGTTTCCAAGTTTTCTGGATATTTTGTGTCAGAATTTTTTTTTAAGATTTAGCATTTTCTTTGCCCAATGTATCTATTTCATTCCTCCAATTTTCAGTGGCTGGGGTTCTCTCTTCCGCCTCTTAAACTGCATTGGTGCAGCCGACATCTGCAGTTCCAGTTTCCATTCCTACACTTTTCATTTTCAGATTTCCCTCAGTTTGTATTTTCCATACTGCCTCTCTTTCGACTTTCAGGTCTTGAACAGTTTCCTTCGGTTCTTTACTTTTCCTTGGCCATCTTTAAAGGACTTACTCATTTCCTTAAACTGATTGTGGTATCCTGGCTGTCCTTGAGGAATTATTTTCAGTTCCTCCATTTTTTTTGTTGCTTGTTTTTTGTTTGTTTGTTTGATTGATTGTTTTTGCTTTTTCGTGTATTTCTTCAAGAGATGTCTTCATTTCTTCTTTAAGGCTCTGATCATCTTCCTAGAGTTTGTTTGAAGGTCTGTTTTCTAGTGCTGAAGCTATTTTCACATAATTGCGACCTGCTGTGCTGGGACCTAATAGAGACACATCTGCCTGGCTCTTAGTGAGTGTGTTTTTACTCTGATGTCTATGTATCTGGGTTTGGGGTTAGCAGAGGTAGAGATGTTGATTTCTCAGTTTGTCTTTGTTGGGTGGGGGTTTTCTTCCTTGGTTTCTGTTTCTTTTCTTGATTTTCAGAGTGTGTTGGTTGTATGGTACCTGTTTTATGGGCCTGCTTGTCTGTATGTTCACAGGGAGTACATGCTGGCATTGGGGAAGCATAGAAGGAAAGCACAGCTGGGAATGATCTGTGGGGGACACAGGAGGCAGGTACAGGTGAGAAGGGAGGCTGCAGCTCTTGTTCCATTGTAGCACTAGAATCTTGAGGATTGGAGCTGGGGTGACAGGGTGTGCGGAAAAGGTCCATGGGCTGCCTACCTGATCTTGCAGGTGTGTCCTGTGGTTGAGCATGGGGTGTCTGCATAAATTGGAGCCTGGAAACAATGACAAGCCGAGGAAGGGAGATCAGGGTGAGAGTGGTCTTTGAGATTCACAGGCATGGGAAAGGTTGGGAAAGGAAGCTGCAGCTGGGGTTCTGATGAAGTTCATGGGATGAACCTGAAGATTGTGTCTGGGGGCACAGAGAGCTTTCTATACTTCTTATACCTTGATAAACATCTCCTTTAGGTTTGGGAAAATTTCCTTCATTAAAAATATTTTCTGTGTCTGTAATCTGGGCTTTTTTTCCTTCCTTTATCCCTCAAATTCACCGATTTGGTCTTTACATAGTGCCTCAAGTAAAAATTTCCCAGCTGTTTTGCTGCTGAATTATTTTAATTATTAATTTACATTTTCTTTGAGCTATTTTATTTCTTCTACTTTGACTCCATGCCTGAGATTCTTGTTCCATGTTTTATCCTTTAGTAGTAAGGTTTGCATCTGAATTTTTGGCTTGACTTCCTTTTTTGCCCAGTTTTATTTAAGTTGGGGTATTATTTAGTGAATCTTATTTTTATGTTAAATTCTGATTTCTTGTCTTTTTTTTTTTTTCATTTCACTGTTTGTGTTGGGTTCTCACAGTCTCCCTTAAGGTATTTAATTATAGCCTCTTCAAGTTTTTTGAACATATGCATACTTCCTATTTTGAAATCCTTGTCTCGTGCTTCAGTTATATTGAGCTTCTCAGGGCCTACTGTTGCAGGGTTAGTGCATTATAGACGAAGCATATTGTCTCAGCTGTTCATGTGTGTGCTTTTGTGCTGATGTCTAATCATCTGTGGTTGGGATAATTGAGGTAATTCTAGGTGCTGATGTCTGCTTTTGTTGTTGTTGACTATTGCTCTCCCGGTTTTCATTGATCATTCTAGATTTGAGGAACATGGATGGCTGTGGGTTACCTGGTAGAGAGTGCTTCTGTAGGGAAATGCATGGCATGAGAGGAATAGAGGTTTACTAACTTAAAAAACAAGACTTAGAATGTCTGTGAGAAACAGTGAAGGGGATCCTGTCCTCACCAAGTGGGAGGGTCTCTAGGGATTTAGACGTGCAGTAGAAGGAGGGGCTGTTGAAAGTAGATTTCACTAAAGTAAAGAGCATGTCTAAGGAGACAGGGCTGAAAATGCTAGGAGGACTTGGCTTTGTACAAAGAGTTGTAGTCTCTAACGAGTTGACTTGATGTGGCAGAAAACACAGCTTCATGAATACTGCTAAAATATTGAGCGTAAGACTGTAGATATCATAATGAGGACAGGAAGGAGAATGAAAATTGCCTATCTGAGTTCTAGCTCCGTATGGCCATTGAGTATCTGTGATAGGAGGTATTTCTAGGTGTTGGTGGGTGACGTAATGGAGCTGGGATAGACTAGAAGGGAGGCCTGAAACAGACTGTTTGAAGAGTAATGCTGGTTGAGTACAAAGTTTTGGCAGAGTCCCCATGAAGTTGAGGTGGGGTGGCAGGAGGGACTTCTGTAAGCAGCTTGGTGCTTAAATGACCTTAATTAGAGTTTTGAAACAATAGGAATTGCAGTCACAAGTTTCTTTCCTGTCTGGTCCCGCAGGTGTTCAGTCCCAACAAAACACATAAACTGTTTGGCCTATTAGTTCAGGCTTATTATTAACTATCACTTACAATTTAATTAAACCCATAATTCTTGTCTATGTTAGCTATGTGGCTTGGTACCTTTTTTGTAAATATTTTTCTTTTTTCGTCAAGACAGTGTTTCTCTGTTGCAAATATTTTTTTATTGATTTTATTGTGCTATACATTTTTCTCTGCTCCCATCCCTTCCTCTCCCCTCCCCTTCTACCAACTCCCATGGTCACCATGCTCCCAATTTACTCAGGAGATCTTGTCATTTTCTACTTCCCAAGTAGATTAGATCCATGTATGTCTCTCTTAAAGTACTCATTGTTGTCTAGGTTCTCTGGGATTGTGAATTGTAGGCTGGTATTCTTTGCTTTATGTCTAAAAGCCACTTGAGTGAGTACATATGATATTTGTCTTTCTGTGTCTAGGTTACCACAGTCAATATGATATTTTCTAGATCCACCCATTTGCCTGCAAATTTAAGACTTGGTATCTTTTATGAATGATGCATTCTCATCTTGCTTCCACTGCATCTGTCTGGTGACAGCGTCTTTGCCTTTCCTCTTCCCAGAATTCTCCTAGTCTGGATACTCTGCCTGTAATTCCTGCCTGGTGACTGACCAATCAACATTTTATTAAACAAATATGAGTGACAAATCTTTACAGTGTACAAAAGCATTATCCCACAGCAAGAAATGTTGAAACTCATAAACCTAATGAGATAGTTTAATTTTGATACAAATGTGTTTTAAAATTGAATATTTGTTCCCAAGCAATTTTTATAATTTTGAAATGTTTTAAAAGTCATACAACTACTTTTTAAACTTGTCATAAGGAAGGTGCTAATATTCCTAAACAATTGTCTAATATTTTTTGTAATCAATATACAAAATTAATTTTAAAGGGAAAATTAAGTTCTTGTTTTAATTCATATTTTCTATTTTACATTAGTTACTATGTCTGATCATTGCAACTAAAATCTGTAAATTCAAGGCACTATAAAATATTGCATTTGTCAGCATAAACAAAAGTATATATGGTAAGCATACAATGACTTCTATAAACCATTTGTTTACTTTCATCCATATTTTCTAATTCTAGGCGATTTGAGAGATCAGTTGAAAAATGGAGACACTTTCATTATGATATGAAGGTATTTAATCAATGGCTGAATGAAGTTGAACAGTTTTTCAGAAAGACACAAAGTCCTGAAAATTGGGAACACGCTAAATACAAATGGTATCTTAAGGTAAGACTTTTGAGATTTTTTTTTTACCATATTGTCTTTCTTTTGCGGCAGTATTTTAAATATTTAGCTACAGTAAGATCACCTGGAAGAATCAATGGAATATGTAGCTCCTGATGTTTGTGATGTTCTGCGAACACACTATAAAAATCAACATAACAATATGGCTAAAGTTGTGATCTGAATGGCTTCTGAAGGACAAGAGCATCTGCTTAGGCACAATGTTCTGTGAAATATAGTTGCATCTGTGATGCAGGAAAACATCTTACAGCAGAGTATAGTATAGTGTGGCTTGTTGTCTCTCTTTCTTTCTGTCTGTGTGTATGTTTGTATTTATTGATCTAATGTTGGAATCTGTTCAGAATGAGAAGTTGTGGTATACTTAGTAGTGATGTAGTTACTGCAAATATCCATCATGATAAAATTATAAATGTATTTCCCTCAAGACAGTTTGTGGGGATGTAGCAATATTTCCATATATCCTATTGACAAAATGCGTTCTGAGACAGAGCAGAGGCCAAGACAATGTTGAATTAATTGTTAGTACTTATTGACTTTTTCTGGTTTATGTTAGTGGAAATACAGCATATGGATTATAACTAGGGAATCATTTAATTTCAATGTGTTGTTTCTTTTAATGAGTTGATAAAAATAAATTAGGTTGTGGGGAATATAATTTAGTTGGTACAATATATAGATTAAGTCTAAGAAATGTGGTTTATTATGCCAAGTCTAAATTTTTGTTGGGTTGTTGTTCATTATTAATGCTGCAATTTTCAATCAGATGAGTTTGAATTGTGGCCAACTTATAATGTTCAAAAATACTGATTGAGACAGGTAAAGTCAAAGAAAATGACAGTTTGTAGCAAGCTTTCTTGGACCTAAAGCCCCCAAATCATGACACGGAACCGTATTATTAATTATGAATGCTTGACCTTAACTTAGGCTTGTTTAGCTAGTTCATTTAACTTAATTTTACCTACTTTGATTAATCTATGTGCTGCCCCAAGGCTCGTTTTCCTCATATATGTATTACCATCCTGCTTTCCTGCTTCCTTCATGTCTGTCTGTCTGGTCCCAGGATGGCTGCTGACTCCAGACTGACTGGCTGACTCCCCGTTTCTCTGTGCTGCCAGCCCCACCTATTCCTCCTCTGCCTAGTTATTGGTTATTCAGCATTTGAGTAGGCCTATCAGGTAGCTTGGTCTGGCAAGGAAAAGCAGAAAACATCTTTACATAACTAAACAATTATTCGGCAACTCAAACCTACTCAGCACAATTTTGCCTAGTTAAACAAATATTCTATCCCACAGCAGTAGTTCATCAAACAATTTGAACATTTTCAAAGTTTAGATTCAGTATGATCTTAGACTTTGCAATTCTTTATTTGTAAGTGTTTTCCTAGTTAATATCTTATATTCAGAAATTGAGGCTTCAAGCACCTATAAGATAGGCAAGGTAAAGAAAGAAAACCAATTCTTTTAGAGTCTTCTATAGTTATATTTGTATAAAATTTCTTCTTACATCAATGTTAATATAAATTAGATGAGCTTCACTAGTTTATGATCTGCTAGTCTATAGAAGATACATTCTGAACAGGACCAACGTGAATGTTGAGCTAAGGAAGCACAATGCAATCTCTACCTGAAAGACTGTATACATATGTATATATAACATTATATATAGTATGTGATTATTAGATATAATATATAATAGTCATATAATATGTTCTTGAATGGATATGTAAATTTCTAGAGATAGTTGGCAAAGGATACATAATTTTTATACTTAGAATATTACACAACAAATATAATTATTTATTATAAATTTCAAATGCATCAATTATGATGAAAATCAAGCAATAAAGAAATAAAAGTATTCCTCTATTATGCTTCTCAGAAGTTGGGTAATATTAAAATAGAACCTAGGGCCTTGTTCATGCTAGATACAACCTTTACTACAATTAGCAGACTCCCTCCACAGTATAAACCTGACACTTTTTTAAATGTTTAGTTCATTAATGAGCTCACAGTGAGAATGAGTTACCATGAAAAAGTGCATTAACAAGCATATTTTTGGTCAAGCAATTAATTTATGTGTTGAGGCTGTATATATTCTTATTTGTTCTATTGACTGTTTTTATATTAATGAAATCATAATTTTCATTAAAACTTTAATGTTTCACCCTTGATTTTTTAAGTAAGGAACCACCAAATGCTTATGTATCATCTCAATTAAAGTGGCCATATTAATCATTAATACTATATTCAATTTCTTGATGGTGCTTGCTTGTCCATAATTATCTTTTATATAATTTATACTATGAAATTTAATGACATTTATGATGTCTAATCTTTGACTAATCCTCATTATGTGTATTTTAATGTCATATATATTTTTATTGAAGTTTCTTAGATGTGAAATTTGGGTGATTTACTCCTACCCTGGGTCTACTTAATTTGTCCTACAATGCCTTAATGATATAAAATACAAATATATTAACTCTTAGTTTCCTTTATGAACTCAAAAGACTTTATATATTTTGGTTACATTTAGTAAATATATTTTATCCTCAATATGAATGCTGTTTTAACATACTTTTTAGTATCTGGTAAGTTTTAACTTTTGTTAGGTGTTGGCAAATTAAATTGCTAAATGTTAAATAATTTGTCATTCAGATAAATTTTATTATGCTATCTTGTGGGATCCAGTTAACCTAGTTCAAAACAGCTTTAATTTTTTAGATTTTATTTGATACGTTATTATTTGCAATTAGCTAGCTAATTTTGTTCCACTACTGTGGCAAAGTCATTTGTTTATTCAATGTCACTTGAGCGACGATATTTTCCCATGGTGGCTATTGTGAAATACCACAACCAAAATTTAGTTTCTTTCCCTAGTCTTGTATAGTTTTCTCACATCTGCAAGCTGTTAAAAACTACCTGAAAACCGGAACATGCTTTCTGCAGATCTTCAAAGTTCTTCGTTTCCATTCCGTTCTCGTTTCTAGTATTCTGTCTTCGAATATCTAGGTTTGCCCCATTGGATTTTCTGCTCCATCTCCTTAAATTCAATCACCCGGTGTCTTGAACATTTCCTCATTTTTTTTCTATAGTATTGAAATCTGTCTAGATAGGAAGGTGGCCAAATTTAGTACTCAGTTTTGTGACTTTCGCCATTCACTCTCTAGTCATAGTCCTTTGTCCTGTGTTCAATGTCTTCAAAATTGTTCTTTCATACATGTTACTTACGTTTATGTTAAAATATGATGCCAAATCTTCTCCATTTTTAAATTTCCATAAATATATGAATATTTTAATATGTTTGTATGTATTTTACTAATACAGTCATGCAAGTCCATCATAATATTACAGATCTGGAAAAGTCTCCATTTCCTGACAGTGTAATTCATTTATTACAATTGGTGAATTTTTATAAGCATATTTCCTACTCAGAGAATAGATACAGATATGTTATGATATCACAAGTCCTATAAAATTTAGCCTTCTTTTTGTCTTCATTAACTATGAAATCTACCTACACATGGTTGTATACATACACATTAAGACGCTGAATAAGTTTACATTCTGAGACAGGTTTTATTAAAGATGTTTAATTAAGACATGTCTGGCTGTTTCAGCATAAAGAATCTTGAAGTAAACATCTGATTTCTTTCCTTGGCTATGTCCACACTTTCTTAAACTAGGAAATAGAAATGACATTTATAGAAGAATGACATTTCTCACAATGTAATTCTACATTTATTATAAGACCTCATTATGACTTATTATTCTTAATGAGTGAATAGCTCATAACGATATATGTTAAAACTCTCACTGAATTATTCATCTCAAACATCTGAAACATAGTATAAGCTAACTGGAAATGCTACTAAACATTATTTCCTTGAAGTATGAGAATCTCTAAAGTATAGCAATTGAGTAAGAATTGAGAAAATATTCCCAGTCATACGGGCTTCTCCTCCTGAGATGGCTGATACGTCTGTCTTCTGAGTTTTTAAGAACCAAGAAGAAACGCTAGTGAGAGTGTTCAAATAAAATTGAATATTATGGAGTAAAGTTAGGAAAATAATGGTAGTTCCCATGCTGGAAGCACACACTGATATGCCATCAATTACCTCAGTGAAAAACATGGATGTGGAAAACATAAAGTTCCCTATCATTAAAAGTTAGCCTGCTTTCAGCTAGACTTGAAAAAAAATAATTTTTTAAAACATAAGCTGTTGTTGAATGTTACTGAATCCTTACAGTTGCCAGTAGAAACAATAAAAAAAAAAAATCACCATTGGGTTAAACATTTGCAAGCGTCGAATATCCTTCCTTTTAATGGAAAAGCAGCCTGTTTGCTTTTATGGGCTAATGCTGCTTAGTGAACTCTATTAAAAATTAGCAACACCTTCTAAATAATATTGTCATGAATATGTGTGAAGGTTTGAAAGTTAAAAAAATCCATTTTAATTCAGCCTTAAGAAGTAAGCAACAATGGGATTATTTACATACATTTTGGAGTTTAAATCAACAAATACAAAATTAAGGAAACAGGTGAAATTGAAATGTGTTATATTTATATGAGTTTGTAACTCTTTCTAAGGTGTTTCCATATTAAGTTTCAGGTATAATCTACAATGCAATGTTTTATTACTTAATAATTTCAATTATATTGACATGTGGCAGTTTATGTATGTTGCCATAAATAAATTGAATTAAAACTGTTTACTTTGTTAAATAATGAATTTCAATCATTTTAATAGGACAAGAATTACACCAAAATTGATTAAATGCGGGACATTTCAATATATCTATCATTCTACCATTAACTCTCAAACATATACAGATATAGGATAGGATTCTAGTCTGCTGTATCTAATAAACCACAGTGTATGGGCGAAGCTGTAGGTGTGCCAATGTTTTGTACTTGGAAGGAAAAGGCAGAGAGAAGATTGCATCCGTGTTAAGGACCAGCTAAGCTGCTCTTCGTTTCCC